GGAAACCCAAGCTGTTTCTCAGCGCCTACCCTGGTGGCCTGTCTCAAGACCTGCACCTTGGGGGCTCTGCCTGGGGCAGAAGCGATTGCACCTTCCTCCCAGTGGCCCCATTCCACCTTGGGGAGAATGCGTTTGTACAAGGCTAATGCAAAGTGCAACTTGCACAAAGAAGTGATAAAATTCTCTGTTGAAATAGAGGGGAGCACTTGTGATGAGCACCGGGTGATGAATGGAAGCAGCAAATCACTATATTGTACACCTGAAATTAATATTACACTGTGTGCTAACAGGAATTTACATAAAAATTTTAAAAACCCACAAAGAAATAGAGGGGAAAAGCTGGGTCTGCACTGGAGCCCTGGCTGTCACTTTCCAGCCTGGCCTCAGTTTCCCACTTCTCACCAGACCTGTCACACAGGCTGCTGTGGAGGACAGAATGAGGTGATGTAATGCATAAAGGAAGGATGGAGCTAATGGGAGGGATCATTGCTCACTGTTATTTTTGGCATCTCTCAGAATGCAGCACATGGGCGCCCACCCACACCACCTCCACACAAGGCCTGCTCTGGCTGTCCCGTCCCTAACTCGTGCCGCCCACAGGAGATGCTCTGTGGCTGGGGAGCGGCCTGTGCATGGAGGGAGGGACGGGTGGCGGACCCACGGGGCAGGAGCCACCGGGAGACCCCGGATAGCAGAGGGCGTGAGGGGCCCCGTGGGTTAGAAGTTGGTGCCCGGCAGCAAAACCCTGCCTGCCGCTGCCTGCCAGGGACTAAGCAGCACTGAGGAGGGCAAGCGGGGATCAGCAGCAAATGCCCTGCACGGGCCAGACGACTCAGGGGCCCGCAGAGCTCACAGAGCTAGGAGTGGAGACTGGACACAACACGGCAGTGGCCACGTGGAGCCACGGACCCATCACAACCTCATGTGCCGGCCCTAAGCAAAGAAATGTGCAGGGGCTGGAAGCAGGTGAAAAGGAGTGTAAGATGGGGTGGGGAGGGTTGACTGGAAGGCCACCCTCTCCCACAATGACTGACAGCCAGCTTGCCTGGCCACACCACCAGGACATCCCTCTGCCTCATCCCTGCCAGCCAGCCCCACTCATTGGAGAGAGAAAAGCAGGGATGATGCTCTGAGCCCCCCACCTGTAGAAAGAAGAGAGAAGGCACCTGTAGGCACCTGAAAAATGGGAGGGTGAACCTGAGCTTTCCAGAGAGTGGTGCCCTGACCTCAAATCCCAGAAACAAGAGAACAAAGGGTTGGCTTCACCTCACCAGAAGGGGAGTGAGAGGGCGCCTGGCACAGACAGGCATGAGAGTATGGGGAGGGGGTCCGTGTCCATTAGGCATCTGTACCGCAGGACCACGGGAAGGAAGCTGAAGCCCAAGAATAGGGGCTGCACTTCATGGAGACGATTCTGTCAAGACGGAGACTGAAATCCGCGGCTGGACAGTGAATTCAGTGACTGAGTTCTCCAGCAACTGCAAGAAAGGGCTCAGGGAACATGGCATCTTACCTCCAGACTAGGACATCACCCCCTGCACTCCAGGGCTGAGTTAAAGGCCTCTCCTTCACCTTCACGGGAAGGAGCTGCTAACCCACGATGTTGGTGGAAAGAAAAACTGCATTTTTTATTATGCTAAAACACATAGCAGCTGCATTTTTAGTTTCTCAGCAAGAATAAAAGCCAAAAGCCATAGTGATGCTATTGGAAGAATATTTACGGTTCAGAATAAAATAATTATTAAAAAATATGATTGACAGAGTGTGATAAGAGGTTAAAAAAAGTTAACTCAGTAAAGCGTCAGGAAGAACTGAAAATGCACATGAAGATATGGCCTTTAGAAGCTTAGAATTTCAGAGGTGGTAAACACTGCAGTCTTCACTTGACAACTAACCATTTTTCAAGCAATGGAATTGAAGCTGAGAGGTTCTACACTATAACTTGCCCAGGGACACAGTGAATTAGTAACAAAACAGTCCTCTTAGCTAATCAAATATGATGATTCAATGTGATTCAAAATACTTTATTTTTTTATCTTTTTTTTTTTTAAAGATTTATTTATTTATTTATTTAACACAGAGAGACACAGCGAGAGAGGGAACACAAGCAGGGGGAGTAGGAGAGGGAAAAGCCAGCTTCCCACAGACAGGGAGCCTGATGTGGGGCTCGATCCCAGGACCCTGGGATCATGACCTGAGCTAAAGGCAGACGCTTAACCAACTGAGCCACCCAGGCGCTCCTGTTTATTTTTTTATTTGAGAAAGAGAGAGCACAAGCAGGGGGAAGGGCAGAGGGATGCAAGGCTCGCTCGATCCCAAGGCCCTGGGGATTATGACCTGAACCAAAGGCAGACGCTTAACCAACTGAACCACCCAGGTGCCCCTCAAAATACTTTTAATAATAAAACCGTAAGCAGGTGATATCAATAAAAATGGTGGAATAAGGACCTCCAAAAAAATCTCTCCTCCATACAAGCAACGAGAAAACTGGGGAAAATGTTAGAATCAACTTTGTCACAGCTCTGGAAATTAACCAAAAGCTTGCAGCACTCCATGGAGCATTAATCAAGAGACATGGCTGAATCTTAGTACGAAGTGAGCTTTGTAGCATTTTAACTTGCCTTATTCCAACCCCCTGCTCTTTTAACTCCATGGTAGCCTTGAAAGACAACAGCTTCACAATTACTCTGTAAATCAGCAGTCTCGCAGCCACTACAGGGGGAAGAACCAAGCTAGAACTTCTTCAAAGCTCCATTCCCAGAGAACTATCATTCTACCTCTCTGGTGGTTCCCTGGAAAACCCTAATCTGACCTGAGTCAGAGCTCCCTCAGTGTGAAAAGCCTTTCCCTCCACTGAGGTATTTGTTGAAAACAATGAAAGGCAAATGTTTACATTAAATGAAAATGGGTTAAATACTTCAAATAAAAGACAGAGACTGACACGATAGATTTTTAAATGATCTAAATATATGCTGTCTTTAAGAGACACCCTTTAAATTCAAAGACACAGGGGCGCCTGGGTGGCTCAGTTGTTAAGCATCTGCCTTCAGCTCAGGTCATGATCCCAGGGTCCTAGGATTGAGCTCCGCATCGGGCTCCCTGCTTGGTGGGAAGCCTGCTTCTCCCTCTCCCACTCCCCCTGCTTATGTTCCTGCTCACACTATCTCTCTCTCTGTCAAATAAATAAAATCTTTAAAAATAAGTAAATAAATTCAAAGACACAAATGAGCTGAAAGTGAAAGGATGGAAAAAGATATACGATGCAAACAATAACTAAACAGACATGGGGTAGCTATACTAGTATCAGGCAAAACAGACTCCAAGACAAAATTACTAGAAACAATGTGGGAAATTTGACCCTACAATAATAGGGTCAATTAATCAAGATTTAACAATTATATACATATAGGCACCTAATAACACAGCTCCAAAATACACAAAACTGACAGAATTGAAGGAAGAAACAGACGATTAGGCAGTGATAGTTGGAGTCTTCAATGTCCCAATTCAATAATTATGGAACAACTAGACATCAACAAGGAAACAGAAAACTTAAATACATGATAAACCAACTAGATCTAACAGATCAGAACACTCACTCAGTAACAATACTAAGCACATTCTTCTCACAGGCACATGCAACATTCTCCAAGATAGGACATTTTTTAGGCCATAAAACAAGTCTCAATATATTTTAAAAGATTAAAATCATACAAAGTATGTTCTCCAACCACAAAAGAATTAGAAATTAATAACTGAAGGGAATTTGGGAAATTCACAATGTCTGGAATAAATTAAATAACATACTCCTAAGCAACAATAGGTTAAAGAAAAAAATCATGAGACATTAGAAAATACTTTGAGATTAATAAAAACAAAAACTTATGGAATACAGCTAAAGCAGTGCTTAAAAGGAAATTTACAGCTGTAAATGCCTATATTTAAAAAGAAGAAAGATCTCAATCAATAGCCTAATAACCCACCTTAAGAAATTTAAAAAGGAACAAACTAAACTGAAAGCAAGAAGAAAAAATATAATAAAGAGAGAACAAATTCATGAAATTGAGAAGAGAAAAACAATACAGAAAATCAACAAAAGCAAAAGTTGGTTCTTTGAAAAGATCAACAAAATGGACAAACCTTTAGCTAGACTGACCAAGAAAAAAAGGAAAAAAGACTCAACTTACTAAAATCAAGAATGAAAAAGGGACCATCACTACTGACCTTACAGAAATAAAAATGACTATAAGGAAATACTATGAACAACTATATGCCAACAAACTAGATAACCCAGATGGACACAATCTGAGAAAGACACAAACTACCAAAACTGACTCAAGAAGAAATTCAGACTTGACCTATTACAACTAAAGAGACAATTGGGAATTTTGAAACCTTCCACAAGGAAAATCCCAGGCTCAGGCTTTACTGGTGAATTCCACCAAATGTTTAAAGAAGACTACTAATGTACTTTCTTCTGGGAGATGATGAAAATGTTCTGGACTCTGGTGGGATATGTGAATTATATCTCAATTATTTAGAAAGGGGGGAAACAAAAGCAATCTAGTACGGTTGTAACAATATAATTCCTGGATCTTTTTTTTTCTTATTTGATAAAGTTGAACATTATTTGGATGGCTGTATGTGAATTACACACCCCCATCCTTTTTTTTAATCTTAAAAGCAGGTGACTTTCTATTTCCTCTCCTCCAAACCTTTTCTACACTGTGAATGCTTTTGATAAAGTTGAATGACGTGAGTCAGGTGAGGAGGAAATATATGCAATATCTATGAAAAAGGGAATATATATTCCTGATTTATAAAGAGCTCTTATAAAGCAATACGGAAAATGCAAACAATTCCATTCAAAAGTGGGCAAAGAATATGTAAAAGTATTCACATGATAGGGAATAGCCAGTAAGTGTATAAAAAATGGCCAACTCCACTAACCAAATGTAACAAGACTGTTAGAAATTTTAAAAGGTAGATGCTAGAGCGCCTGGCGCCCGGGAAGAGGTGGCTGTAAGGGAAACGAGCTTACGGCTCTCCGGCTTCCGAGGCTTGAGGTTTGTCGGAGGGAGGGGGAGGCGAGGGAGAAGAATCCACTGCAGCCGGTCCTCGGCGACTCTCCTGCTGACCTCCGCGCGACGTACCCGCCGCTGCTGTTGGTTGGAGCATTTGACATTGTGCAGCAAAGAAATGGTTATGGAGAAGCCCAGTCTGCTGCTTGTAGGGCGGGAGTTTGTGAGGCAATATTATACTTTGCTGAATAAAGCTCCAGAATATTTACACAGGTTTTATGGCAGGAATTCTTCCTATGTTCATGGTGGAGGAGATGCTAGTGGAAAGCCCCAGGAAGCTGTTTATGGCCAAAATGATATACACCACAAAGTATTATCTCTGAACTTCAGTGAATGTCATACTAAAATTCGTCATGTGGATGCTCATGCAACCTTGAGTGATGGAGTAGTTGTCCAGGTTATGGGTTTGCTATCTAATAGTGGTCAGCCAGAGAGGAAGTTTATGCAAACCTTTGTTCTGGCTCCTGAAGGATCTGTTCCAAATAAGTTTTATGTTCACAATGATATGTTTCATTACGAAGATGAAGTATTGGGTGATTCTGAACCAGAACTTGACAAAGAATCAGAAGATGAGGTAGAAGAGGAACAAGAAGAAAGGCAACCATCTCCAGAACCTGTGCAAGAAAATGCTGATAGTGGTTACTATGAAGCTCACCCTGTGGCTAATGGCATAGAGGAGCCTTTGGAAGAATCCTCTCATGAACCTGAACCTGAACCTGAGCCAGAATCTGAAACAAAGACTGAAGAACTAAAGCCGCAAGTGGAGGAGAAGAACTTAGAAGAGTTAGAGGAGAAGTCGACTTCTCCTCCTCCCGCTGAACCTGTTTCTCTGCCACAGGAACCACCAAAGGCTTTCTCCTGGGCTTCAGTGACCAGTAAAAACCTGCCTCCTAGTGGTACTGTTTCTTCCTCTGGAATTCCACCTCATGTTAAAGCACCAGTCTCACAGCCAAGAGTTGAAGCTAAACCAGAAGTTGTCTCAGCCACCTCGTGTGCGTGAACAATGACCTAGAGAACGACCTGGTTTCCCTCCTAGAGGACCAAGACCAGGCCGAGGAGATACTGAACAGAACGAATCTGACAACCGTAGAATAATTTGCTATCTAGACAGTCATCAGCTTTTTGTTGGTAACTTGCCACATGATATTGATGAAAATGAACTGAAAGAGTTCTTCATGAGTTTTGGAAACGTTGTGGAACTTCGCATCAATACTAAGGGTGTTGGGGGAAAGCTTCCAAACTTTGGTTTTGTGGTTTTTGATGACTCTGAACCAGTTCAGAGAATCTTAATTGCAAAACCAATTATGTTCCGAGGTGAAGTACGTTTAAATGTGGAAGAGAAAAAAACAAGAGCTGCAAGAGAGCGAGAAACCAGAGGTGGTGGCGATGATCGCAGGGATATTAGGCGCAATGATCGAGGTCCTGGTGGTCCACGTGGCATTGTGGGTGGTGGAATGATGCGTGACCGGGATGGAAGAGGACCTCCTCCGAGAGGTGGCATGGCACAGAAACTGGGCTCTGGAAGAGGAACCGGGCAGATGGAAGGCCGCTTCACAGGACAGCGTCGCTGAAGCTCCACTGTTGGCAAAGTCTTGGCAGTGGTACATTATTCATCGTGTTTGCATTCTTGTTAATTTTTTTTTGGCTTTGGAATGTGACACAGCCTTTTTGATCATTTCTTTGATGTGAAAAGCATCTTTTGGTTATCAGTTAAATTGAGGTGGACATTATTTCCCCAATTTCACAACAGGATTCACATTGTTAATTTATAAATCTAGACTTGGAGAACTAAGGACTGAGAAATGACCATATCTTAAACTATCTACAACAAAATGAACTTAAAAGGACATGCCCAACTGAATTCAGGTCCTTTGAGTCAAAAAAAAATCCTCTGCTGCACATTTTGTTTAAGTGTTACTGTTTCTGCCTATTAATGTTGGAAACACAAATAGTGCAATTTGTGCAATTGGAGAATCTTGCCTTTTTTCTTGGCTCCTCCCCAAAATACAACCCAACAGAAACTTGTTATGCACTCATCAAAATGCACTAATGGGTACTCTGAACTCATTAACATTGACATCTGCAACAGGAGGCAACAGGGGGAAAAAAAATCTTTCATCTTTTTTTTCCAGTAGAGAATAGTTTGTGAAATGATGAGGGCATTTTATCTGCTTGCTGTGACCAGCATGTGTACACATAAACCTTAACAAGACTACAAGTATATTCCAGAAGGGAATCATTTAGTTATAAACTAAATAACAAAAATCAGAACTTCAAATGCTATGGTCTTGAATATTAGACCAGATTTAGTAGCTCCATATCTAAGATTTTTCTACCTGCCCCTCTTCAGTACAGGGATGGCTGGCTGCTCAACACACTCCTCCTCCCTTTTTCCTTTCTTTAAGCTGTGTACAGTGAAAATTGTCTTTACTGTATTTTTGTTCTCTGGTAATGTAATAAGCATGATGGTGCCTTCTATTAATACATCATTCCAGTCTTGCTGGTAATTTTGTACAGTATAGTGTATGAATTGCTGTGCTGCAAAGCCAAACAGCTGCAAAATGTTGAAAAATCATTGAAGTGTATAAAAATTGCAGTATCTTTAAAATCAGTAAAATTGACTAGCATATTATTTACTTTGTTCTTCAGTTAACAACTTTGTGTTCTCTGTGGGAGGGAGTCTTGTGTGTTCGGGAGGGAGAGGGAAGGAGGAGGAAGTCAGTTATTTGAGTAAGTCTCTTGTTGACTTTTCTCTTAGCACGAATGTGAACGTTGAAGCGTATCACTTGAGAGGTGCTTGGAAAAGTCAATCAACTTTATGTACATTTTTTATGACCTTTTTAAAGCAGTCAGATTCCATAAATGGCAAGTAAACCTGAAGTGAGGATACTGCAATTTTCAGAGAAAAGAACAGCAGCTCCTAAATGTTTGTATTTTCTATTTGGGGGGCAGGGAACTGTCATTCATTTTGCACAATTCTTGAACTGATGTCAGCACCCGAGTGGCTCTGAATTTAAGTCTGGGATGACATCTTTTATTTTTACATAAATCTCTAAACAATTCTGTGAGCAAAGTTTGTAGCTGCTGGATTATTGTCTGTCTTTATAGCAAGTTCCAGTAAACCGCAAGTATGGCAAAGGATATCTAATTTTATGCTTGGAGCATTCGGTACATAACAGTTTCTGATGTTTCAGGCTAGGAGTGAGGTAAATTTAGTTTTGCCCCTTTAAGGTTGTTTTTTGGCTTGGAGGCTTTTTCCTTTTTTGTTAAAACCAAAAAATTGCCTTTGCCTTGTTGGCAACTTGGTTTTGATTTTTGAACTTTTTTGTTTTTTGTTAACTTGGCAATTGTTGCCCTTTTTTTTTTTTTCTTTTCGTGGGCATTTTAGTTGAATTTAATTTTTTCTTTTTTCCCCCTTGAATGAGGTCTTCCATGTTTGGGGAAAAGTCTTGCACTATTTGCATATATTTTGGGGACACAGATTTCTCATAGTTTCCATTTGGGGGGGCTTAAAGATTTTTTCCTGTTTGAACACTTTTACACTTTCTGATGTATAGTACTTGAAGTTCTTACCAGAAAATTACTTTTGAGTTTTGAAGCCTTTATTCAAACTACTTTTAAATAAGTGGTTTATTGTCAGTGTTTTGTTTTGTTGTTTTTTATAGCATATTTTCCCTCTATTCTTTATTTCTTTCCTTCCCATTGTAAATATATATATAAAATTTCCAATCTAGGATATTGCCCTGCCACCCATGAAAACTCTGTTCTGGCACCAAAAGTAATGACAAATGTTAAGTGTAATAGAAAATTAAAGAGCCATTCAGCTTCAATCTTTACATACCATGAATAAAACATTAAAACATCACATGGAGAAGTTTACATGGTGATTGTTCACCTGCAGTACTGTGGACTTTTAACATTTTGTCCCCTTTTCAGTGAACCAGAGTAAAAATATTCATTGACCATTACTGTTATTTGATTTTTTTTTGATGGTAATATTCTATCCTTATGACACTACTGCAACCAAATTGGCTTTACCATCTTGGCTTTAGTAGGCATAGAAGACAATGGATTACCATCTTTATTGCTGTAATGTGTTAAGCATTATATGCTAGTAGAACCTAGTTTAATTGTTTCAGGTGGAAAAGTATTCTTTGAGTTTCCATTTTGAATGTGTTTGGACTAAACAAACAATAAACTACTGACGTCTGCAAAAAAAAAAAAGGTAGATGCTATTCACCATTGGTAGAGTGTGAGAAATGGTACTCCCATACATGCTCCTGGTAGGAGTTAAAAAATGATATACATTTTTTGGACAGCCATTTGGCAGTTTTTATCAAAATATTAAATGTAGCATAGCAATTCCGCTTCTGGAAATTTTTTCTATAGAGATATTCAGAAGCACACATAGATAAATGAGCAAATATGTTCCCCACAGCCAGATTTGTATTAAAATTTCGACATATCATAAATATTCCTTGATATGGGAATGGTTAACTGAATCATTTAGAATACTAAGGAGTGGTTAAAAGAAATGAAGTAGAGATCTATTTACTGACATGGAAGTACTTATAAAATAGGTTATGAAGTTTAAGGATCTGCAGGAAAGTATGCAAACACAGTATTTCATTTTTGCAAAAAATGTGCACCCCAACATGTATGTGCGTCTGTGTAAATATAACCAGTTATAGACCAGGCTGGACTCCTCAGAGTAAAAGCAGAAACCTACGGTGTCCTTCCTCACACTCTTACTAAACTCACTCTGTGGACCTCTTCCTACCACCTCCACACATCTCAGCCAGAGCTTTTCCAGGCTTTCTGAAATAGATGAATAGACCATCTATTTTTGGCATCAAGCACTTCCAGTTCCAGTCGACTGGAAGGTAGAGTCCTTTCCACAAGAAAGTATCTTTACTCCCTGGCTAATGGAGGCCCAGAGGCTCATGGGGGAAAGTGTGGGCACCTCCCTGCCTGGCCCACCACCTGGCTTAGACTTGGGACAAAGGGTCGCCAAGGACAGGCCCAGTCCAGGGCCAGGGCCCTCCAGGTGGACTGAAACCCCCCTCTCCATCCCTACTTCCACCTTCCTCCAGGAGTATTGCCCCTGACCTGGGCCTACCTCCCCTCTGCTGGTTCCCAAACTCTCCAGGAATCCCTTTGGCCAAGTCCCTCTTGGGGAGCCCTCACCCTGGTCACACCTCTGGCAGGACTGCCATCAGTCCAGAGACTTTCCCAAGTGCTTTCCACAACCTCTGGGCACAAAGTGCCAGGAAGGCCCCTTCCCCCTTCCAGTGGGAAGGTTCAGGGAAGGAAATGGGCTCACTGATAATGTCTCCAAAGAATTTCTCTCCACCTGAGACTCTAGGTGTTTGGCAGGCTGGAGATGGCGGGGGCCAATGTGCCCCCTAACCTCGCCACACTGTAGAAACAGTAAGGGCTGTGCAGTACCACACGACTGTCCTCAGTCAAGAATGCAGAAGGAAATGCTGCTTCACATTCTGTTGTGTCAAAGTACAGAAAAAATTTGAAAAGATACATGGTGGCTTTTCTCTGGAAAAGGGATTATAGCTTTTTACTCTATATGCTTCTGTAGTGTTTGATTTTCTTTTTAATTACTCATGTAATTAAAAGATAATTAAAGACCAAAAAAAAAAAAATGTTTCCTGAGTCTATTTTCTGACCTTCTCAGCCTAGGCAGACTGTCTTTTGCTGACGACACCCATGCCATCAGCAGGAGCCTGGCCAAGGCTCTGAATCCTCATGTCCACCCAAATCCACCTGAGCTCTCAGAGAGTCACTTGGGCACCATCCCCAGAGATTCTGATGTAATTGGTGGGGATGGGGTTTGGGCATTAGGATGGGTTAGAAACTCCCCAGGGGACTCTAATGTGCAGCCAGGGTTAAGAAGCCATGGGCTTGCTCCTTTCAACAGGGCCCAAACCACTCCCAGCCATCCCTGTACCCACCTCCCGCTCCCCTTCCTGGGTCAGCACCACCTCCTCCTAATACAGTGGAGCTGAAGAGACACTGCAGAGGTAGAAGCAGCATTTGGTGAGGAGATCAAGCCATGGGAACCCACAGCCAGGCGTGGGAGGGCTGACATTATGCCCCAGTGTCACTCACCCTCCACCAAATAGTGTGGCCAGTCCACTGGAAAAGAGACCCTTTCAACTGGACCTCAGAACCTTCAAGAGTCAGGGTCTGTTAAAGCATTTCCATTTTTCTCCAGCTTTCTTCACTTATTCTGGATCATCAGCTGCCACTGTTTCATGTCCCTCATGCAATCTTTGTATTTGTTTTTTTGGTGTTTTTGTTTTGTTTTGCTTTTTTCCTTGTCTGGAGGGTCTCTTTGACTGATTCCCCTGCCCCCGCCCACACACAAAATGGGATGTAAAGGTGAATTTTTGAGCTCCTCCAGGCACAAAAATGTCTTTTCCGGTCCTTGCACCTGATTAACAGTTTAGTAGGGACCAGTGTGCTAGGCTGGAGACCATCTCCCCCAGACCCTGGCAGATATCACACCACCGTGGCTTCCAATGGTGTTGACAAGAAGTCTGCTGCTAGTTTGAGTCTGCTCTTGTTGGCAACCTGCTTTTTCTCTCCAGAAGTTTTAACAGTATTTCTTCATCCTTACAATCTTGAAGTTTTGCTGGAATGTATTTCCTTCAGGGCTCTCCTTTGAATGGGAGGCTGGCCGGGGCTCTGGCTGGGTTGGTGGGACTCTCTCTCTCACAACTGCCAAAAAGAAGACAGCTTCATTCTGGGTGGAAAGTATGTGATGTCTTTTACTCCTGGGCAGCATCATCTTTCCCTTTTTTACGCTCCTGAAGGTCTGAAGTCACCTCAGACTGTGCAATTCTTTCTCAGATCCCACACCACCACCAGGACATACCCAGTCTCTTCAGCATCCTGAAGAGAATGCTCTCAGGGTTCTGTCCTGGGGGCAAGCTGGACTCCTCTTTTTTTTTTTTTTTAAGATTTTATTTATTTGAGAGACAGAATGCACTACAGAGAGAGAGCAAGCACAGTGGGGGGCAGAGGGAGAGGGAAAAATGGGCTCCCCGCTGAGCAGGGAGCCAGATGCAGGGCTGGATCCCAGGACCCCGGGATCATGACCTAAGCCAAAGGCAGACACTTAACTGACTGAGCCAGCCAGGTGCTCCGGTGGAGGACTATTCTAATTCTGTTTAACTGCATGGTGCTTGGAGCATCTCCAGGGCTCCCATGAAAGACTCATGTCTAGGTGTTGGGCTGTAGTGTCTTCTGCTCTGGTTTCCTTGTCAATCCAATCTGGTTTTACCTTCTAGAGATTCCTGTGCATTCCCAGTTTGCCGAGGGTATTAGGACTTCACTTCTTTTTGCCTCTCATTTACCCTTTCATGGGGACCAGGGATGGAAGAAAGTGGAAGTGCCTAGTCTACCACCCCAAACTTAGAACTCCCAGAACAATAGCTTTGTTAAATCAAACTTCTGAAGAGAATCACACTGACCACACCTCATCTGAATCCCTCATTGGAGAGGCAAGGAAACAGAGACCCAGAAAGGCCAGTGACTTACCCATGTGCCCCATCAGCTGGTCAGTGGGAAGCCAGGACAAATCAAGGGTCCTGCCACACAGGCAGTGCTTGGAAGCCAAGACCATGAGACCTCCCAG